GTTCCCCATCTCAGCCCCCATCAGGCTCTGTGTGTCTGTGTGTGTATCCCTCTTTTCATCGCTAGGCAAAAGCTCGCTAAACCGCGGCAACGAATACACAAGCGACAACAGAAATGTTGGTCGCGTAGTTTTCTATGCGGTCCGTGTCGTATAAAAAAAGTAGTGATTAGTGAAGGTACAAGAAAAGTAAATTTGTCCAATTAAGCAATACGCCATGTAGACGTATAGGGGAGTAGATGTACAGCTCCACGATTCTTGACCTCTACACTTGATGGGGGTGTGCGGTCAGCTTCACGCCCTTGCCGCTTTACCCCAGGTAGCTATTAGATAGGTTGGATGGGCCCCAGAGCCGGCCTGGATGCTGTGGAGAGGAGAAAATTCTTACACTGCCGGGAATGAAACCCGGGCCGTCCATCGGCTATACGGGCTGAGCTATCCAGACTCAGTAAACAAACTTGTCTTTCTCGTCGTCAAACCGCCTAGGACGACTGTGAGTTCTTCCACAGGGAGCTATACCTCCAGTACCTACACGACTTCATTTTGTGATGATTATGTAGGAGCACAGAAGGGCTTTACGCCAAGTGTGCTCCAGAGAGGAGCGTGTCGCCGGTTATTTGCCTTATTACTGTACAAGTATCATAACTAAAATTGCTGTAACGACGCGAAATTCGCTCGGAACAGCAGGGTACAGTTACAGTAGCACACACTGATGGGCAACGCAAGTGACACTGTTGGTCCCACCCTAAGTAAAGTTACCTGGCGCTCGTAATGAAGGGTGTGGACAGCTTTGTTCCGAGACAAGTGATGCAACGGTCCACGGGTCCTAAACTTACTTCCGAACTACACTCTGCTCCGCAAAACTCGACTACAATCAAGTGTCATTCAACGTGAAGATTCCAGTCTTCTGACACGTGAGGCTGTGTACTTCCGTACATAGGCACCGACGTTTCAGGCCAGACTCTGCTCTTCTGCCCTCAAGGGAGAGGCAAGTAGGAAGGGGTATATTCCTCTGAGAAGTTGGTATCAATCTACGAAAGTATATGTTGTCACACCCAGAATACCAGAATCATATCACCCACCATGAGAACGTGAGTTGTCAGACCCGTTGCTAGGCAACGACCGCGAAATAAGCATCTGAACAACTGCTGTTCCAAGGTAATGGTCCCAACAAACATGAACGCAACAACAGAACTGTTGGAAGCGACTTTTTCCGTGCGGTCCGTGACGATGCTATATGAATGTTCATTACCAAGTTCAAAAAGCTCTCAAGTGGTTCCTATTATGAGTCAGATGGATCTGTTCTACAGCTTCCAATCCTATCTGTATCTTCAAGATTCATTTTAATGTTATCCTCTCATATGAGACTATGTCTTCAAAGTTGTGTGCTTTCCCACCGAAACTTTATACTCATTTCTATTCTTCAGTATTCGTGCTACATGTCCCGCCCACGTCATCCTCATTCATTTGATGACCCTAGTTTTAATATGCACGGGCCCATTACTTCTTCCTGCCTCATCGGGGGCTTACAAAACAATAACCAGCATAAGGATCACGTGACCATACACTGTCAGCATCGGGCTTATATAGGATCGAGTAGCAGGATTAGTGACAACCGAACTGGATAGGATTTGTAGGATTTTCGGTTCTCACAGCGGTGGCTATGAAGAGTAATATGTCCTCTGGATATAACGCCGTGTAGCCTACTGAAACCCAACTGATATTTCGAAGGAACATTTCGCCTCCATCTTGAGGGCCGAAGAATAACGCGAGCGAGGAAGCAGGTGGCAAGGCAGAGCAGAATGCTGGTGATACTAGAATATTTTCCCGGAGGGACTGAGGAAATTCATGACATCCTTTTACGTTAGGTTAGACGCAGGGGCGTAGGGTACATGGATGTGGTGGAAGCATTGCTTCCCTATAGAAAAGCAACCAAGAACATTTCTGGCAATTTTTCAATTTCATACTTCAAAATATTAATTAATCTGAGAACATATATTACATATAATGAGAATATTGCAAGTTTTAATGTGTTACATAAACAATTTATCAGGATAGATCAGTTATTTTCTTCCAAAATGCAGGGAAATTTAAACTGCAACACGCGCGGAAGCAGCAGGTCTTTCGCTTCCACCCTCCCCTGGGTTAACTGGCTGACTCAATGTCAATGTTGTCTGTAATTGAGCTATGCGTTATGGTATGCTACCAGCTTCGTGCTTCCAGCAATGTTGCCAGATGTAAGGCACAGTTTGCAGTAGAATAATCTGTGACCTTGCAGTTAAGCGTGCTTACTAGAAATTCGCAGAACCAGGATAGGTTGTCATCACTGGCTTTGATGAACATTGAAAAGTCCTTCCTAAACAAACTGCAGTCCAAACCCAGCTTTCTAGATGAGGTTATTGATCTGTTTGCCAAGAAAAACAGAAGAATCGAGCTGAATTATAAACAATAAAGTAAGCATTAATTATATTCCAGGTTCACAGCCCTGTCATTTGATGGCTATAAAATTGTGTTGATAATTATGTGTTATTTTAATATATTAGCTTAAATATAGAATACATATTAAACTATTAGCTGTTTTCTTTTAAATAGAAGATAGAAACTATAGGGTATGTAGAAAAAAATTATATACACGTATATAAAGTTGCTTCCCTGCTTTCGGTAGTCATGCTACGCCACTGGTTAGACGATATTCTGGTCAAGATTCGAACCGAACACCTAAATAAGAATATAGAGCGACACTGTTGCGCTAACCAACTCGGTACGTAGTTGTTGTGGGGGAGAGACAGCTGAGACAAAAAAAAAAGGCGGGAGGATAACATTAAGATGGATTTCAAATCCATCGGTTCTTAGGATGGGAGGTTCGTGAAAATGTGTGCCCTCCTAGTAAGGGGCATGAAACCTCCGGACACTACACACTACTAACAGCTGTGGATCTATACATCCACTCATGGAGCAGTTCTTAATTACTTTAGCACAGGGACAAAGTAAAAGTCAAATAGGGTTGTGAGATGTTGAGGCTCCCACATTTTCTAGGCAATCGGTTCAGACATGGCGGTGAGGTTGTCAGCCTTACGCGCCGGCCGCCGTTTACCCCCACAAAGATTCCTGGTACCCATTTCTGTTAGAGGTTGAGTCTACCACAGGGCCAAAGTGAGGCTGGAAGGAATAGATCAGTTGAAAAAATCCACATCCTCGGGATTCGATCCCGCGACCTTCCGGCCTAACCAACAACGCTACCGCGTGCCCCCTAGTACAGGGACAACTTCATGCTACTAACAGAGATAGCCAAGAAAGTATAGCGATCAGGCTACGGGCTGGAAGTCCGAGAAGTGGGTTCGATTCCTGGCACGGTTGCGAGATTTTCTTTTCTCCAAAGCGTCTAGACTAGCTCTGGGCTCCATCCAGTCTCCAACAAACGGGTGCCGCAGGCTCTTTCTTCGGGGGTAACGCGGCCGGGAGGCGAGGCTGACCACTCAGTTCCAACTAACACCGAGGTCAAGAATACGTGGATCTGTACATCCACTCTCCCATACGTCTCCATGGCGTAGTGCTGAAGTAGTTAAAATTGTTCTTTTGAACAACTGATATTAGCACTAAATTTTGGTAGGAAAACGCAAAGGAAAGAAACCACTCCGATGAGCCAGGCGTAAATGTGAAATAAATTTAAAATGATTCCAAAGATGTAGGATGGGGTTGTATGAACTAGATAGGGTCCAGCGGGGGGCTCTTGTGAATAGAACAGCGTAATGAACCTTCGGGTTATAAAAGGTCTTCACAATATCTTGAAGAGCTGAGTCACTACTAGCTTCTCATGGACTTAGTTCCATGGATATAGTTATTGAATTAGTTACAACAGAAATATAAGAATGATATACAATGGAGCGACCCCGGAATTCTTGCAAGGCAACCTGATAGAACACTCCCGAGCTGAACCCTTCTAGCGAAGCCACCAGTCGCTCACCTATTCAATAATTTCCAAACATTTTTGAAACCCGAAGGTTCATTACCGTGTACACAACAGTCCCCCACTGTTCCCTATCCTACGCTAGATTAATCAAAGCCACATCATCCCGTCCTATTTCCCTAAGACACATTATAATGTTATCCATTCATCTACGTCTTGGTCTTCCTAATGGACCCTTTTCTTCTGGCTTTCCAACCAAAATCCTATACGCATTCCTCTTCTCCAACATTTGTGCTACATGCCATGACAATCTCATCCTCCTTGACTCGATCATTCTAATTAATTATACTTGAAGAAGAGTACATGTTATGGAGCTCCTCATTATGCAGTTTTCTCCAACCTCCCGTCAGTTCATTCCTTTTTTTTTCTTTCTTGGCACTACAGCCCCAGTGGGCCTAGGCCTACCTCCATGAACTTCTCCGTTCACTTCGGTTTTTCTAGATCTTACACATTCGGTAGGACTCCTTGGGCGGGTGATCAGCTCGTCTCAACGCCTCTACCTGTACACAAACACAGAAAAACGCACACACAAACTAAACATCCGTGCCCTGAGTGGGATTCGAACCCATGATCCCGGTTTTCAAGCGAGCGAAGACAGTGCATGCCTTAGACCGCTCGGCTACCCTGACCGGCCAGTTCATCCCTCTTCGATACAAATATTGTCCTCAACACCCTGTTCTCAAACACTCCCAAGATGCCCCAGGAATGTACCATATCATTACAGAAGTTTAACCTAGTCAGGGAAAGGCCAGTATTTGAATATTAAAACATGACGTTAATGTTTTTGACAAAGATGATACTTTGAAAAGTAGTATTTCTGGTAACAATGTCCTCGTCGCTACCCAGTGACCATGACACTGAAAACAGTACTGTCTCAACCCGAGCGGTGAGCACCTACCTTCCTAGTTACTCTCAGCCAATCCGGTAACGTGACAGAAGCATCTTAGCCAATCGGGAACCGTTTGTTCCGATCCAGGGTAGACCACTTATAAAACTAAGAAAAGTTGACCCGAGGAAGTCAGAGTTGTGGTGTCGGTCCTGGCAGTAGGATCCGTGGCTAGGAGCAGTACGTGTCACACTGGTCGAGGAAAAAGACAGTAGAATTTGGCGTGTGTGGTTTTGTAGGTGATTTACCCCCCGGACCGGACTAAGACATCCCTGCGTGGTGGAGAGATTGGAGAGTTGAAACTGTTTGGATTTGAGATATTTTACAAAGGTACGTATCAGACATCGGCCTATTGGTCTTAATCGATAAATAAGTTTAAGGATATATAATATATGACAAACAAAAATTAAAATAGAAGGGATTATATCAAATATTAAAGAATAATTAAAATTATTTTCAATGTATTCTTATATTTTTATATGATTTTAAAAGTGTTTAAACATATTTCTACACAAATTTTATTGACTACTCCGCTTGCAAAAGAGACCAATGATATTCACAACCTCATTTCATCAGTGTTTGCAAGAATCTTTTATCTTTCTTCTGATGCAAGGAACGGCTTATTCAGCAATCGGCAGATATACGAATTCGCGAAGTAAATTACGAAACAACAGGCATAAAATACCAGATAGCACATCATCGTATGAAACAAAGTCCTTTTGGGATAATCACAATACGTGTAACACAGCCCACCCGGAAACCCCCTCGCTAATCCGAAGTAATTTGGTGGAGGTGTCGTACTAATTAGCGAAGCAAAAGGACGCCCTAAAAGACAAACACCTTAGAATATAAATAAATGGAGGATTTAATGATACAAGCAGTACTGATAAAAATAAATAACAAAAAACATCACTGTATAGCCTTTATTTAAAAGCTATAAAAAGACAATAGATTCATTCATCGATAGAAGACTCAGAAGTTGTACTTGTTGTTGAAGGTAATAATTTTAGGGTTTGAAGGAACTGTCAAATTTTGTCTGAAGAGGAAAGTGATTCGTCTGCCTTCCTAAATCCAACGTGTCTTTTAAAGTATGTACTCAACTGTGAACAGAATTTTTCATTTTTAATATTTCGATCTGGAATAACTGTAACCGGATACGCGAGGGTTTACTGAGTGCTTTAAGCGTGAGATTTATCATTGACATTAAGCAGTTTCGCGTGACCATAGCAACGAATCGTTCAGCATCAACAAGATTCATGAACGTAACTTATTTACAACGTCATGAACAAGCGAACCGTCTTCTGTTTCGGTATATCGCATCTACGTTTATCCTCTGAGTAATATTCTTTTGTGGATTTGTGAACTGTATAGCATATTATATTGTCACGTGTAAAGGGGTACGCGTGACGAAATGACGGGTTCTAGTTCAGATGATTGGATTTATTAACAGCTTGGTTATACACACTCTTTTTAATTACACTCAGACACAGCGCTATCGCTGATTTACATAACCGCATACTCCACTGTTGCACGCACCGTCACACACATAAAGTCTTCTGAATCACACTTGACATCCTCACAGGCAAACTTCTGTATTCCTGGTCACGCAACAGTGGTAGCTATCACGTGTTTACTGAGCGATTGCCCAGCAACGGGCTATATGGAAACCAGTTACGTGATAGCTACCACTGTTGCGTGACGTCACAGCCTAGCGTGGAGGGGTGTTTACCGAGCGTCGCGTAGCGATGGGCTGGGTGGGGATATGTAACCCCCTACTTCCTGTTGCGCAATCTAAGTGTTCAGAGTTGTCGCCTAGCAACGCGCCGGTAGAATCCGCAACTCTCCCGTTGCGCGCGTGCCCCGAGGCCTCTGTGGCTCAAGATATCCTACATAGAGCAAATACGCCACAATATAAAGTAGGCGGTTAACGATTGGCCGTTAGTGCGTGTTATTCGTGGGAGATGGAATTAAACACCGGCCTCGTTGCCTCGTTTGATAACATGTAGAACTGGGAAAGAATATGCGAGAAAGCGGAGGAAGTTAATAGTACTACAGCTTATTATAACAGATGATGAAATTTCCCGTTTCAAATCTCAACTATTGCTAATATAAAATTATTTAAATTCGCTTAGTGCGGGGTGGAGTCCACTCGACACGGCGGCTACGGCGGCCACTGATTGACCTATTGTACCTGCCCCGGGTGGTTATGATGAAGGAGAATTTGGTAGAATGCAGATTGGCAGGGGAAAACGAAGTACTCGGAGAAAACCCGCTCCAGCGCCACTTTGTCCACCACAAATACCACTTGACCAGACCCGGGATCGAACCCGGGCCGCCGCTGTTTAAATAATATAAAATTACTTATAATTCAACATGAGTTTAGTATCAAGAACATTAAGTGAAGATACTACTGAAACTGGGATAAATTTGTCTACACTGTAACTGTGTTATATTGGCGTAACACGAAATTCAAAACTCTGAAGCCAGAAGAAGAGAGATAAATCGGTGGAACACACTTGGTGACGTCAATTTGAAGCATAGGCATTTTGCAGGACCTGAGCTGTGCTCACTAGGCTGGGTATTAAATTATTTTGTTGATTCAGGAGAGATAGGTCGCTCTGTGAACTACGGAATACAAGGAAGGATTTTTAGTTTTATGTTAACTGAGGTCTCAGTAGTCTGAAGTTCATCAAAGTAACATTTCAAAACTCAATTCCCATATCGCAGAAATGAGAAATGCAATATGTCTCCATTACAATGATCAGCTGGTTAACCACATGCTCTTAAACAACAGAATTCCGCATTCTGCCCACATAGTTTGTTCCGTATGGATCTCACAATAAACAGCGGCTGTTTCCCTAAACAGCATTAACCGGTTGGGCTTTGTAACGGAGACGTAATGTTTCCTGTGAGATACGGACTGGATCTGTGTGTTCCTTATGGTACTCACAATAAACGAGTCTTTCCCTAAACAGCATTAACCGGTTGGGCTTTGTAACGGAGACGTAATGTTTCCTGTGAGATACGGACTGGATCTGTGTGTTCCTTATGGTACTCACAATAAACGAGTCTTTCCCTAAACAGCATTAACCGGTTGGGCTTTGTACCGGAGACGTAATGTGTTTCCTGTGAGGTAAGAACTGTATCTGTGTGTTCCGTATGGTTCTCAGAATAAACAGCGACTGTTTCCCTAAACAGCATTAACCGCTTGGGCTTTGTAACGGAGATATAATGAGTGTTTCCTGTGAGGTACGGACTGGATCATTATATAGTATTTTTGCTCCGTATGGTACTCACAATGAGTAGTGACTGTTTCTCTCTCAACAGCTTTAACCGGTTGTTTTTTTAGTTCAGGCATAATGTGTTTCCTGTGAGGTACGAACTGAACTCTTATTATTAGATGATATTGCTGCTTAAAATAGTTTAGGTAGTTAATTCGTTAAAGCGTATGTACCCATATAGGTAAGAGCTATTATAGGTATTCTGACTGAAGGTCTTGAGTTCGTTGCCCCCATGCAGTAGCTACTATCTGACAGACGTAGACGAGATTAACCGAGCACTTTAAATTACAGTAATCTCTCTGTACCAGACAATTTGAAGTTGAGCAGCATATGTCCGAAGCAATGACGCTGACAGTATGGTCAGGTCAAGAGTTCATCAACCAGATTCTGAGCCTCAGGCTAACCCTTCGCAGCGAGAAGTTCATCGGAACAAAATCGTAAAAATTCAATTCCTGTCTCATAAAGGCTGCATATCCGTTATAAAGGCCAGCCGGTAAAAGTTGTTTCAGAGAAGTTATCGCTTAATATGATACAAAGAGAACACATGAACGCCAATAAATCTGTAGAACGATGCCGCAAGACACTATCAGATTGGCTGATACGGTTCTACTTCTACATATGACAAGAGAAAAGCCCTTTACTTCTACACACCATTTACTCTTCCATCAGCTTAGCTTTAAATAAAGTAAAGCAGAAGTAAAGATATTCCTGTAACTCGCCGTGGAGGCCCAAGGGGTTGTGGGACGTCGAGGCTCCCACATTCTTCTAGACAATCGGCTCAAAGATGGCGATGAGGTCATCAGTCTTACGCCTTTACCTCCCAGGAAGATTCCGCGTACTCATTTCTGTTAGGGGCTCAGTTGACCCTAGGGCCATAGTGATGATGAAAGGATTAGGGCAACTGAAACATCCAATGACCTCATCGGGAATCGAACCTGCAAGCTTCCGGCTTGTAACATAGTGCCTCAACCAACTATGCTACCGCGTGCCACCACATTAGCTATAAATTCTAATGATTTCTTATGATCAGATGTATATTAAGTGACTCGTGTAGAAAGAATTTCAAATAATTTTGTAAAACTGTTTAAAGTTTCATTTTAACATACCACGTCTTTAAAGATGGCCTTTTGAGGCCGAAACTTGTTCGGCAACACACACATATATATATATAATTGTCCCTGTTCTTAATTAATTAAGCACAGTACCATGAAGACGTATGAGAGAGTGGAGGTATAGCTCCGCAACTTCTTCGGCACTAGATGAAGCTGAGTGGTCAGCTTCGCGCCCCCGCCACTTCACCCCCGGTTTCCATTAGATAGGAAACTGGGTCGGCCCTAGAACCTCCCTGTAAGCTGTGGAGGATAGAAAAATCTTGCCCCAACCGGGACTCGAACTCCGACGCCTCGGCCGTCTAGCCCATAGTTACTCGCTATTGCATCTGTGTAATGATACTAAAGAGATTACGTAAGTTATTTATAATTTCACAGCATACAAACATATATGGTTAGGTTAACCGTAGCGACAACAAAATGATTTACGTATTATCAATCAATATTTTACAACTGAATATTTATTTCCTGCTACATGTTTCGGTCTCATAGGAGCATCATCAGGCAGTGATATAAGAATACGCCTATGGTCACTGAACTCCTAATATTGATCCATATTTGTGCAACGTGTCATATTCTATGCTACGGGATCTGTGCCTCCAGTTAAATATCACATTAAAATTAAATTACAAAAAATATCAAGGATATGTGAAAAATATATTATACAAGTATACTGACTTTGAATTAAAGCTATAGAAGATATATTAGTTCTTCTCAAAAACTCTTGTTCTCTGTAACTCGTGTTCAATATGTTTCGCGGGAATAATATTTAGGCGGGCACTAACTCGTGTGCCACACGCGATCACATGGAGACTTCAATGCACGGTTACAAACCGAACACTGCCTCCCATTTGGTGACTGCACACAGTACGTGGTTCATTTCATTACAGAGCGACGACTGCTAGAATCATATACGCCCAATGAACTTCTAAGCGTGTGG